CATAACAATGATTGTGAGGCTCGTGCAGGACTGGGCAGTGTTTCCTTCCGTTGTGCATAGGGTTGCTATGACTCGGAATCAATTCAACAGCACCTAACAACAACAGGGAGCTTATGCTCAGGAGAGGACTCCTTGAAAAAACAAAATGGTGACAAGTAGTTATGACATGAAGAAGGCAAGGGAGTGAACCTTATGGGTATCTAGGGAGAGATTGTTCCAGACAGGGAGAACAGTAAGTGCAAAGGGCAGGCATGTGCCTGGCAAGTTTGAGTAGCAGTGAGGTTGCCTGTGTGACTAGAGCAGGATGAGTAAGGGGAGAGTGGTGGTAGGGAATGAGGTTCATGAGGGTGAGAGAGGAGTTGGCAGATCCTGTGGAGCCTCCTAAGAACTTTATCTTCTATTCTGAGTAAGATGGGAGCCAAGAAATAATGAGATGTGGTTTATGTTTTAATATGTCCACTGGCTGCAGAGTGGTATAGTAGATCCCTGTCCATTCCTTTCGGTTCAATCTTTCTGAGTCCTTTGGTCTTGTGTAACAAGCAGCGTGTTACTGAATTAAACAAACAAGCAAAAACTGAATCTGGAAGTTCTTTTTTCTTTTCCCCAGGGAAACGTGTTAATGTTTGTAGCCTTAATTGCCATGTTTCTATCGTGGTGTTTGTTTCTAAAGTTTTTTTTTTTTTTTTTTCTTTTCTCTCTCTCTCTGTCTTTCTGAACAGATAACTGTTATCTTAAATCATTGTTACTTAAAAATTATGTTTCTTTACCAAAACATCCAGAAGAGAATTGAGGATGTTAACACATTGTGAAAAATGTAACCAATGTCTCTGAACAATTTGTGTAGAAATTGTTAAATGGGTACTTAAGTTGCTGTGTAAACTTTCACTGAAAACACAATAAAATATTTTTTAAACAAACAAGTACCCCAAAATTATGTTTCTTTAAACTCTTAAATGACATTTTGGTCTTATTATAAAAACAATAACTAAGAGCATGGGCTGTGGAATCACACCTCCTGGGATAGAATTTTGGCTCTACTCTTTCTAGCTGTGTACTCTTGGGCAAATTACTTAACTCCTCTGTGCCTCATTTCCTCATATGGAGATAACAGTGGTAACTATGTCCTAGGATTGTTCTGATATTGAATTGGTTAATGGAAGTGATATAAGTTAATATTAAGATGGTTAACGTATGTGTCCCGTGTCTGGTAAATAGTGTGCACTAGGGTGCTAGTCATTATTATTAACTGAGGAATTATTAGAAAAATATAAATAAGCAAACAGAAAATATTATGCAGAATCCCATCACCCAGAGATAATCACCATTCATACTGTTTAGTCTTTTCTCTCTCTCTCTCTCTCTCCCCCTTTCTCTGTGTATGAAACAAAAATGAAATCTTACTATATATACTGCTTGGTAGCCTGTATTTTTCACCTAACAATAATACATTGCAATATATTCATTTAGTAATCTTGTGCAACATCATTTTTAATAACTACATGTTGTCCATACTATGCATTTTCTTCAATTTATATAATCATATTCTTAAAGTATGCAGTGTTTTCCTATATAAATAATTCTGCAATAAGCATCCTTGTAGCAAAACCTTTATGCTCAGCTTTAATTACTTCCTAATAAATTAGTGGGTCTGGAATTGATAACTTTGAGAATATATACATTATGAAAGTATTTGCTAAAATGCCCTGCAATTTTTTTCTATCACTTTGCATTCTCACCAGTGTTATGTGAGACTTCTCATTTCACCCAAACTTGTCAACATATAGTATTATAAATTTTAAGGATATGATTGATGTCAAGATTATACATGTTTTATATTACTAATTATGTTGAACATTTTCATTTGCATATGGTCATTTGTATGTATAAATGACTGTGTCCTGTCCTTTGCCTATATTTTTTTAAATTGATTTATAAGAACTTTTTATATAAGAAAGATCCTAATATGTCCTTGCTGACATATATTCAGAAAAACCATATTCCTCCCTTTCATGTTGTGTTTTAATTTTGGTAATACGCATTTTCTTTGCATTATATAAAGCATTCAATTCAACTCTAATCAATATGATAAGTCTCAAGCCAACTGTCAGAAAAATTTCTCAAGTTTGTTCTGTAATTCACTAATTGTCGTCTGAATTATCCATCCTACTGTTCACTGTCTCTGATGGATTTTAAAATCCAGTAATAACAATTTTCTTCTGAAAGCAATCTTCTCTAATCTCAGATTGTTTCTGTCTGATAGATGAATTAACCTCTTGAATCTCACTGAAAATATGAATTAGATACTTTCTAGGATTTTTTCTCTTTTGACAACAGTTCTATTTCATGGGAGGTACTTATTCTTCATTATTTGAATGACTGAGTTTTTTGTAGGCTCTGTTATTTTTCTCTGTTTGCTCATTCTTATAGAAGAGTGAGCACAGAAATGATGAGTGTCCTGTTCTAATCTTTCAGCCTAGGTAAAGGGAGAAAGGAATCTTTTGTATTTACTGGAATTTTGTTTTGTTACATCAGGGGTCCTGTTCCCTGTAGATACTTGGGAGAAGACCATAGCAGGAAACAGCTCTGTTGCTCAGTGGATGGGGTATCTTCCCCATGTTCATTTGTGTATCTCAGAGTTGGGGAGTGGGGTGTCCTGCACCTCTTTTCTAACTGACACAGATGCCCTCATCTGCAGGCAGCAGTGGCCACACCCTTCACCCACTCTATAGCATGCTGGCCACAGGGAGCGTAAGATGTGCTGAGCCTTTCTGCCTGCTACCCCAGGGGCTGACACCCCATGCACTTCCTGAATATGGTTGGGAATTGGTGGCCCTCATCCCGTCCCTGGTGGTCTGATCCAGGTTTGTTAGTGGGGTTCTGTTGGGGTTCCCATTCACTGATGATCAGCTGGCCAAGCCCCCTTTATCTATATTTTCCAAAGTGTGGGAACCTAAACAACTTTAGATAGTGTGTGGTTGAAACATAAATAATATTGCATTGAACGCTGAGAAAGCTATTCTTTTGTCAGTGCTTCTTCAGTTCTTCACATGACCTCAAAGAGAAAGTCTCAGACGGCGCTGGTTTATCCTTAACACCTCTTTAACACTTGCTGTTTGCTGACAGAGTCAACTTCGATCATGGTGACCCCATATGTGTCAGAGTAGAACTGTGTGCCATAGGGTTTTCAGTGGTTGATTTTTCAGAAGTAGATCACCAGGCCTTTCTCCTGAGGTGCCTCTGGGTGGTCCTGAACCTCAAACCTTTCAGTTAGCAGCCAAGTGCATTAACCATTTGTACCATCCAGGGGAAGAAACATCCGCCACTGAAAACCCTAGGGCACACGGTTCTGCTTTGACGCACATGGGGTCTTCCTGAGTTGGAATTGATGGCAGCTGGTTTTCTGGTTTGCTGATCTCCCATTTTAACAAGGTGGGGAGGGGACAGGGGACAGGCTTTAGGCTCAGCGCTTTTGGTAAGTAAATCCATCTACCTGGACTTGAATCACTTTGTTTGATTTTCATATGTTTATTTTTTTACACTTACTTTCTGTTTGTAGAAGCTGATACTGACTTTATTTTCAAGGATGAGATATATGAAGTTAATTTATTATTAAAAAGTGATGATTCAGTGAGATACATTAAATTGATAATAATACATAGATTTTGCAAAATCCACAAAGATCTCATGTGAAGGATAAAGTTTGACAAATACTGCTGCATACCCTCTTACTATCATTTTAATCTGGGGAAATTCCTGGACATCTCTGCCGTGTGAATAACACCCTTCTTGATTTCCAGTAAAGGTGCCGATGTTCTCTTATTTTTCTATTTCTTTTGGTAATTTCTGTGGAAGTTTGGGAGAAGAGAATTAAACGTTAAATGTGGAGACCTAGAGGCTCATATTGTCATCTCTTCTTTGAATCATCTTCCCTATTTTTAGAAGCTGCCTAAGAAGATTTGTGAATGGAGAAAAAAAAATTGTGGTGAAAGTTGTAAATGTGAGTGAGGAGTTTTGGGGTATTTTCTCCCCTACTGACTCAAATGCCTTTGGAATGTCCCTTTTTCTTCCTTACTTGCATCTCATTCTCTGACTAAACGGAAACATCTTTGTGGTCAAGAAACAAACTAAAGTCATAAGATAATGTTTGTTATACTCATGTTAATACCTGCAATAATGATGTTGTTGATGATGGCATTTCTTGAACACTTGCTAGATGCGGAACACTGCTCTAATCGTTTTACATGCATCATCATATTTCAGCCTCACCACGATCCTAGGAGAAAGGCACATTTATTTCAGTTTACAGATTAGTACAACTGAGGTGCAGAGAGCCTCATGACCTTATCCAGGTTAGACAACATGGCAGGGACAGAGGCGGGATTTGACTCCAGGCACAGTTTGACTCCAGGGCTTATGCTCTTAACCACTAAGGGATGCCCTTTTTCCAGAGGTTGAATAAGGAACACTTGGGGCAAGCATCTGCAGAGAAAAATAGCATCATGAAGTTAAGTTTATGGTCATCCAAACGCAGCTGGGTGCCAGGACAGCAAGATGGATAAATGTGTAAAGCAAAAGGTAGTGGATATGCTGGGAGAACATGGTAGGGAAGCACTGAGAGCGGAAGATTTTAATAGCATTCTTTCAGAATAAGAAAGCACTTAATAGACAAAAAGTAGGTAAAAACATATAGTAATTGAATGATATAACTAAAAAAACTCAATTTTGTGTGTGTGTGTGTGAGAAGAGAGAGAGGGAGCTTTGCATCCTATGAACACAGAATATACTTTTTTTTTCCTTATGTCCATGGAATAGTTCCAAGAATATATGTGTACTTGGCTACAAAAATAAATGAACAAACAAAATAAGAAAAACAAAAAATGTTATCATTTTTTTTTTAAGATAGGGGCTTTTTTTTAAGGCCTTTTTCTCTTATCCTAATCAACAAAATAATAACAAGTAGAGAGTCACGGAATTTGTCCTGTTCCCTTGTCTCCTTTTAGGTTTAAGTTACTGAGCCAGGAGGAAGGCGAGTACTTCAATGTGCCTGTGCCACCAGAAGGAAGTGAGGGCAACGAGGAACTGCGGCAGAAATTTGAGGTTAGGTTCTTTTCTTTCTGTATCAATGGGAACCAGATGAGTCTGCCTCTGTGCTATTTTTCCTCTTTATGGTGTGGTTTCTACCATGGCTTTCATGACTCTGTGCCTTTGCAGTGCTACTCCTTCCCCCAGAAAACTCCTATTCATCCTTCAAGGCCCCAGTTAAGTATTAACCTGCTTTGTGAAGTCATACCTGAGTACCTACCCTCATTCAGATTTAAACATTGCCTCTTAAAAGCTCATTCACTCCCCAGTTTTGATGGTGCCTTGGGCTGGGATGACAGTAAGGGTGGATGAAAAGTAGACAAATTAGTGATGCATTGTGGAGACTGAGCCAACTAGGCTTGCTGATAAATTGAATCTGTATTTGAATGTATCAGCAGAATGATGCTATATTAACAAATGAATTGATTGTGTTGGTGACTCCATGAAATACCCTATGGGTGGGAGAACAGTCCTATCAAATGGATGGACATTGGCTCTGACCTTGGGCTATAGTGCTGGCTGTGCTTCTACTTCAAATAAATTCCTTCCCTTCTTTGGGGGGCAAATAAATCCAGTTTTCAGCCTTTGAGAATAGCAGTTGTGTAGGAACACATCTCAGATTTACAAAGAAATTGTTTTGGGGAAAATGGGTTTGAGTATTTTTCATTATATACACATTGAGTGATTTTAAAGTAGTTTTATAAAGGATAAACACATTGTGTTGTTCACACAAACTCAATATACTGAATCTGGTGGGAAATCATCGATTCTACATAAACAGTTATGGCCTACTAACTCTGAAAAATGCATAAACTAGCATTGCTAAAATGAAATAGATTATTATTGTTATTCATTAAACAATCACACAAACAAAACAAAACAAAACCATGACCATGTAAAATTCTATGAAAGAGAGGTCTATGGTACTCTGAGAGCTTATCATAGGGAAACATAACCTTGTCTGAGAGGACAGGGAAGGCATCATTAAGAAACAACCATGGGAGTTAAGCAAGTCAAGAAGGAGAAAGAACATTCCATTCAGAGAGAATAGCATGTGTAAAGGCCCTGTGGTGGGGAGTTATACAACAACTATGTGGGACTGAAAGGAGGCCAGTATGGGTAGAGTGGAGAAAGCCAAGGAATGAATATGAGGTAAGGCTGGAGAAGTAGGTGGGGCCAGAATAGCAGGGCCATGTCTGCCTTGGCAAGGATTTGGGCATTTATCCTATGAACCATATTACTTTCTCCCTCAGTTTGACAGAAATCACACTTCGGTATTTCCAGGACCCTTGTGTTGAGCCTGTGTCTTCCACACGGCCTGGAGTACAGTCATGTTTCTGATCCAGCGAGGCCTCCTTTCCTGGGAACAAGTGGAATGAACATGTTGGCCTTGGGTTTCTCAGTCATTCTCTAGTGACTTCAGTAACTGAGAACCATCGCCCTAGAGCCCAGAGGCCTAGATCCCCGTGAGTTAGTTGATTAAGGGACTTTCTCACCCAGTACAGCTATGAACTGAACACTGCTTGATACAAATTAGGACAGGAAGGCGGCCCTTCCAAAGGATACTTCTCATCTCTTTCTGCAACTTTCTGATGAAGTGGTGTCCATTTGGTGCTACACTTAAAAACGTACTATCATGGGTGAAAAACCAAGGCTAGTATTTTCTCGTATAAAGCAAAGCCTCAGTTTTGCAAAATGATTTCTTCCGTCTTAGGGCAGCTGGGGTGACATTTCAGAACACCAAGGAAAACGTTTCCTACGTGAACAGAGCATTTGTCTGGGTCAGTTATTGGCTTCAAGTAAAGGATTGTTTTATCTCCAGGCAACAAAGTGTGTCCCTTTATTTCAACCAAAGAGCCTGCAAATGCTTGTTTATGCCTGAATTATAATCGCTGCATACCATAGTTGTTGATTAAAAAAATATTTCCAGCAGACCAAAAATTGTTCTCAGAATTTCAGTTGACCTTGAATGTGAGAAATGTAATCCCTGTGCAATAACCAATTAGCACCCGGAATAACTCAGAAATTACTTTCAAGCCTCTTATCTGGAGAAATTCTGAGTGAAGGTAAAATTGAGCTGCTGGAATTGGGGTAATAGAATTTCATGGTAGGGTGAGCTTCATGCAGTTATCACACGTGGTACATGTCAGAACGTCAGCGTTGGCTTCATTTGGGGGCGTGCATTTGGACCGTGGGCTTGCCGACAGGCCAGGAAAAGGAAGATTCCTTTTTGGATGGCTCAGAATGAGTTTTCTGACAGGCTTAGAATTTATTTATTTAACAAAGTGTTTATTATTTACTATTCTGATTGCTTGACAAGTATTAATGCATTTAATGTAATCCTTACAACCCTAAATGGAGTGCCGTTATTATCTCCTCCCTCTGCCTTTTTTTTTAGTAGATGAGAAAACTGAGGCTCAGGGACGTTAAGTAATTTTCCAAGATCCCAAAGCTGGTCATTGTCCTAATTTGAGTTTCCTAGAAACAGACTCTGCATATCTAAGTGCAAGTAGTTTCTTTGGGAGGTGACCCCAGGAGGCACCACAGAGGAGAGGGGAAGTGAGGTGGGGAAGGGGGGAAAGTTTGTGGTATCAAGCAAGTTATCACTGTGGACAACTGGCTTGTAATCTTGGAGGTCTGGGAGTCAGTGTTAGAATACGTTTCTGAGAGTTTTCCCAATCAAGAAACAAGGAAACTGTGGTACTGTCTACCAGCTCTCCTTCCGTCAGTCACTGAGTGGTGTAAGCAGTTAATGCACTTGGCTGCTAACCCAGAGGTTGGAGGTTTGAGTCCACCCCTAGGTGCTGCAGAAGAAAGGCCTGGTGATCTACATCTGAAAAATTAGCCATTGAAAACCCTATGGAAGGACGGTTCTACTTTGACACATATGGGGTCACCATGAGTCAAAGTCAACTTGACAGCGACTGATAGTCTTCCTTCTGTCAATGGTTGAGGGCTGTTTCCAGGGAAATGAACTTGATAGTGTTTTCCATTTGCCCTGTTGTAGGCTGTGCTTGCTTCTGCCACCAGAAAATAAGCCCACAGGCAAATAGCCACAGATGTTTGCAGTAAGCAGCTCTAGGTATAGAGAGCTGAGTGCCAGGGGGTCTTGGTGGGACACCAGTGGCCAGGTCTGTGCAGTGTAGTCTGATGGGTAAGAGCATGGACTCAAGAGCCAGGCCATCTGGATATGAATCCCAGTTCTGCCATTTCCCCGCTGAGTAACTGTAGATGAGATACTTTATCTCTGTGAGCTTCTGATTCCCCATCTGTAAAATGGGGATGGTGAGCATTAAGTGAGAGGATGCATTTAGAAAGGGGTATGGCATGTCATCAGCATTCAAATGCTAGTATTGTTGTGTTGTTACTGTTTTCATTATCATGATCAGCTCCCCCTTTGGAATGACTAAAGCTCAGAACTTGCTCCTTCTGGGTTTGGAAGAGCTGCTCAGGGGTTGGGGAGAATCTGTGGGGACTCCTCTCCTTGCCTACAGGGGCCTTCTGCTTCCACTGCTGAGTAGCTGAGAGGACCTGTAGTAGCTCCTTGTAGGGTGGGGTGGCAGAGGCAGTCAAGCCAGGACAGGCGTTAATCATATGAGGCGAAGCCCTGGCCCTGGCTGCTGAGGCGCTTCCCTCTCCCCTAATGTCTGGAGAGCGGTGGGGCTCTTTGCTTAGAAGAGTAATGTCTTTGCTTTCTCTTTGAGCACCAAGTTCCAGGGCTCAGCATCGTGGACATGAAAGGGCAGCCATTAGTGTGCTCCTGTTTTTAAAGGACTATCCAACACAAGAAGATAAAAGAAGATTGTAATTTTGGCCTCAATTTTAAAATGTTCACTCTTTCGTGGAATACCTGCTAGGCACGAGGCTCCTGGGAAACGTGGGATAATTAGAGGAATACAGGACAGGGTTCTTGTCCTCCAAAGGCTCATTGTGTACGGGTCACAAATCCAACAGCCTTCAGGAGCCAGGCAGATAACAAGAAAGGAGACAAGCTTGGTGTAAGACAGCAGGGCATGGTGGGGACTATGGTAAACTAGAGATCACATGCCCCATCTAAAGGGGATGCCACTGCTCAGCTCCACACCTTATGGGATGGGGCCCAGTGTTGCCAGATCTACTTTTTCAGAAGAAGCTGGGACTCTAGGTTTTTACAGGACATCTAATTTTTTTTAATTTATTTTATTTTGTTGTTGTTGTTGAGAATATACACAGCAACACACCAATTCAACAATTTCTACATGTACAATTCAGTGACATTGATTACATTCTTCAAATTGTGCAACCATTCTTATCTTCCTTTTCCAAATTGTTCCTCCCTCATTAACATAAACTCACTGCCCACTAAGTTTCCTATCTAATCTTTCATGTTGCTGTTGTCAGTTTGATCCCATATAGATCTTCAAAGAGTGCAATGCTCAAGGCAGACACATTCTTTACTAGTTAAGCTAAATTACTGTTGGGTTTTAAGAAGACTTCAGCGGATATTTTTGCGTTAAGGTTTAAAGATTATTTTAGGGCAGTAATTTCAGGGGTGCATTCAGCCTCCATGGCTCCTGAATGTCTAGATTGCATGAGAATTTGAAATTCTTTTCTGCATTTCCCGCCTTTTGGTCAGAATTATTCTACAGAATCTTTGATCAAAATGTTCAGTAATGGTAGCCAGGCACCATCCAGTTTTGGTCTCATGGCAAAGGCGGTAGTTGTTCATGGAGGCAGTTATCCACACGTTCCATTTCCTCCTCCTATTCCTAACTCTTCTCTGTTGCTCCAGGCAAACAGAGACCAATTGTTGTGCTTTGGATGGCTGCTTGCAAGCTTTTAAAACCCCAGGCACTATGTAACGTACTAGATGGTAGAACAGAAGCACTAAACATAATATTAGGCCAATTAACTGGGATGTAAGACACCTGATTTTTAGCAATTGGCAACTTCTTTAAATATTAAAACCACAAACACAAACACTGTGAAGAACAGGTCAACAGGGTTTTAGACTTCGGCTCTGGATTCTAGAAGCT